AGACCATAAATAAAGCGCGTTTGCGTCGTACCCCTTAATTGCCTGTACCACCTTATTACTATTCCCCCTAATGAACGTTTCACCCTTTTCGTGATGTCTATGAAAAATAATGGAGGGGCCCCCTACGATATTATTTCGGATTGTTTTATGTAACTCTGATTCGCGCTCGGAACACAAAGAAAAAGAAACGTTTTTGGGAAGTGTTTTGAATAAGTATTTTAAGGTTACCCCCGGGACAGAAATCGCATCTTTAAAAATATCAACCCCTAAATTTTTGTAAAAATTAGTTTGCTGCTCGAGCGCTTCGATAAACGGTTTTACATCGATATTGTTATACCAAATAAGATAATCTTTAAACGTTTGCATCCCCTTCTCTACCCAAATTTGCCTACACGTCGCGTACTCCTCGTCTGAAATGTTACAATTTTTTAATGATGAAAAAAAGGCCGAACGCGGAGGTAAAGACGTTTCTTCTAAGACGGCTAAATTTTTGACATATTCGTACGGAAAAAAGCCCTTGGTCTCTTTAACATTATATGCGGCGAGGTATTTACTATAGCTAAACCCCGGTGCTAGATAATTAACTATATCTAAGAATTTTAATTTATTTGTTGATATACACATAAAATTATTATTTCTTTTAACTACATATTTAAACGGTGTTTGTTTATCTTCTACGTCGTCTTCATCATCGTTACAACTAGATCTAGGTCCCTCCTCTAACCCCTCTTCTGTGTTTGAATAAGCTAAAAAGTACTGAATAAAATACGGCTTAACGAGATTTATATCATATTTTCCTGAATTAAACCCTATAACCGGCATTTGTCGCAAATACTCGTCTAATCTACCGCTAAGAAACCTATCAAACCCTTTGTCGTTCGACTTATTATCACTACCCCTAGCTTTAGGTGGAAATAACTTCCTGATTTGCTTAAAAACAGGCTCGAACTGTTTTTTCAAAATGCCATAAGCTGCCTCGGCGATTATGTGGAGTCTGTCAATAACTCTAGTCACTAATTCTTGAGGGTCACCAGTCGAAATAAAACAGATGGGTTCGAGGAACCCATCTACGTTTGAGGCTACAGAGCAAGACAAAGGCACGTGTTTGGCTACGCTTTTTGTAACTCTACCTAACGTGGGTAACTCGGTATGGTCGAAATAGCATTCGAAATCGTAAGTTGCTCGGAAGGGATAAACAAAGTTACTATCTACATCTAACCCATAGGACGCTAAAAACTCCCAGATTGTTTGCTGTGTCTGATAAACCCCTCCCTTATACCTATCTACGGGTTTCCCCCCATTACACCCTTTCACGTGTCTGTTTAATTGTTTAACGGTGGGCCATAATTTGTTACACACAGAACACGCGAAAGCGTGACCCGCCCCACCTATATTATTAATGTACATAAACTGTTTTTGAAAAAATAAAAGATACACAGTCTCCCTAAACCTATCACTACTTCTAAGTTTCGGAGAAAGGCTCTGGTTTTCGTCAAATTCAAAAATCTCAATATTTACACTAAAACAGGACTCTAAGAGGGGAATTTCGACCAACCTAACCCCGCTAAAATTATCCAAGGTCCCGAGACCTTGGTGCGCTTGCCACTGTTTCGCGAGTTTTAATGTTGGCTTTCTAAGATCTTTTAAGGGTGCTCCTAAATGTGTGGCTAAACATCTAAAAAAGGAAAAATTGTCTGTGTAGGGTTTTAAACTCGAATCCTGTTGTAACATGTTAATGGCGTGATTATGTTTAATAAAGTTAGGAATGTCTGTGAGAAGGGATGTGGGTAAAGGTTTGTCTGTGGTCGTGTGTAAGTCTACTGCATCTCCCCTAAGGTCGTCTACAGGAAAAATAGTGGTGTGTGAATTAAGGTTACTGTCATTGTTAGTCTTTACGCGTTTGTTGTTTGATATGTCGTCATACGTCGTGTGTCGTTTTAAGGAGTTAGTGTTGGTCGCAGTGTGGTCTGTTTGACTCGCTGTTGGGAGTTGGACAGTATGTGTGTCGGTCACAGATGTGGGTTGGTGTGTTTTTCTATCGGTCACTAATGTGGGTTGGTGTGTTTGTCTGTTGGTCGCTGATGGGGTGTCGCTTGGTGATGTTTGGTTGGTGTGTGCTATTTTATAGTGGTTCGTTAAATTACTTAGTCTTGTAAATACTTTCCCGCATGTTGTGCAGGGATGTCTTTGTCGTCCGTGTGCAGAGTCTTGGTGCCTTGTCAAATCGTTTCTGCGGGTGAACACTCGGTTGCAGATCTCGCATGAGTAACGGGCCATGGTTGGTTGGGTGGTAGGTTGGGCGGCTTCCATTATTGATGAAGTGTCTAGTAGTCGGATGACTGGGTAGGTCGCTGACTGTAGAATAAAAATAAATACATAAAATAAAAATCATAAAATAAAAATCATACTTAAACCAAAATTAAAATGAAACGTACCTATGGGTTTGCACGTCTAAGCTGAACGTGAAGTTAACTGTAGGTGGAGATCCGAAGTGGTGTTGTTGGATGTAGTTGGATCTATGGTTCAGTGGATGCCTCGGGGATGGGTAGGTAGCTCAATAGGTTCGCTCGATGGTTAGTCTGTCTCGTAGGGTCGGTTGTACACTAAAAAGGAATACAGTTGCCTACTTATTTAGATACATAATTTTTTAAAGGGTATTTAAAGGATAATTCATACTATTAACCTTACCTCGGTGTACGATACAAAATTAAAGTTAATACCTGTGACTACTTATTTAATAAGATTTGATTTTAATGGGGTTAGCGCCCTTAAAACAAAAGTAATATTAACCTTACCTTTAATAGAATAAACACGCACAAAAGATGTGGTCCGTGTAGGTTTAGGTGGATGTGATGGTTGGTAAAGCTGGCGTCGGTTTAGTCTCAGGAGTCAACAGAGGTCGCAGGCTGGATAAGTCGCGGTGAAGCTTGGTGTGAAGTCCAAAGTTGAAGTGATTAGAACACAATTTTCGCGGTCATTTATACGGTTGGTCAGCGTAATTACACCACCAGCTGTCGCACAACAGCTGTTGCATAATGACCTAAGTGCTTCGCGGAGAGGTACTTAATGTACGTCGTTAATTACCATGACCCGTCAAATCGAGCGGGGGAAAATCACTGATGCATAACAAAATTTAATTACGTGGGACATCATGCTGTGATGGGCCTGTAGCTGCGATCAATATTAAAAACTTTGCTGGTGAATCGATACGTAACATCTGTTACCACAGTTAATGTGGAGACGCGCTTAATGGCTCGCCTTAATTACCATAACCCCTGCAGTGTTCGCTTCGCGAACCCACATAAATCATCATGACCTATCAAACCGCTCGGGGGAAACTCGGTGAAGCATAACAAAAATTTAATTAGGTGGGACATCATGCTGTGATGGCCCAGTGGGTGCGATCAATACATTCCCATTAAAACGGGTAGCGGTGAGAAAACTTCGCGGGCGGGTCGATACGTAACAGCTGTGGCTGATCGTTATCTTTAATGGATGTTATTCACAAAGTACACGGCTAGTGTTAGTCTTTTATTTAAAACATACATACATTCAAACAGACCAACAAATTAAACAACAAAGAAAAGAAATATATCAAAGTAATTAAATTAAACAAAGTAATTAAAATCAAATTACGTAACTAGTTAATAATAATTTAACTAATTATAAAATAAAATAAAATTAAAAATAAACAAAATAAAAATAATTAAAAAGTAAACAAATAATCAAATTACGTAACTCGTCAATAAAAATTACACAATATAAACAAAGTAATTAAATTAAACAACAAGTAAACAAACAAATTAAACAAAATAAAAATACAATCAAAGTAATTAAATTACGTAACTCGATAATAAAAATTAATTAAAAATTTAAAAACTCATTAAAACTAATTAAAAAATACATTAAAATTACGTAACTAGGTCAAAAATTAATTAAAATTTTAAAAACTCATTAAAACTCATTAAAAAAACGCATTAAAATTACGTAACTAGGTCAATGATTACGTCACAAGGTCACTGATTACGTCACAAGGTCAATGATTACGTCACAAGGTCACCAAAAGGTGACTCACCCTTCACTGCTCCGCCAACCCCAGTTGGCGTAGTATTTTACTATATGTCTTTGCGCCTGCGGTGCATCCTGCTCACCCACCCTGCGGCAGCTGGCGTAGTATTTTACTATATGTCTTTGCGGCAGGCTGCGGCAGGCTGCGCATCCTGCTCCGAGTATTTTGCTATATAACCTTTGCGCCTGCGCCTCCCCTGCTCCGCCAAAAAACCGACCCAAAAGGGACCTAATATACTACTGATACTTGCAGAGACATATAATCCTAATCTGATTCTGTTTATCTTGTACAGGGATCTTTGATGTGATACTTGCAAAGTCATATAATCCTAATCTGATTCTGTTTATCGTGTACAGGGATCTTTGATGTGATACTTGCAGAGACATATAATCCTAATCTGATTCTGTTTATCGTGTACAGGGATCTTTGACGTGATACTTGCAGAGACATATAATCTTAATCTGATTCTGTTTATCGTGTACAGGGATCTTTGATGTGATACTTGCATAGACATATAATCCTAATCTGATTCTGTTTATCGTGTACAGGGATCTTTGACGTGATACTTGCAGAGACATATAATCTTAATCTGATTCTGTTTATCGTGTACAGGGATCTTTGATGTGATACTTGCAGAGACATATAATCCTAATCTGATTCTGTTTATCATGTACAGGGATCTTTGATGTGATACCTGCAGAGACATATAATCCTAATCTGATTCTGTTTATCGTGTACAGGGATCTTTGATGTGATACCTGCAGAGACATATAATCCTAATCTGATTCTGTTTATCGTGTACAGGGATCTTTGATGTGATACCTGCAGAGACATATAATCCTAATCTGATTCTGTCTGTCGTGTCCTACATGAATCTTCGATGTGATACTTGCAGATACTCACAATCCTAATCTGATTCTGTCGTGTACAGGGATCTTTGACGACATTGTGAAGAACGAGACGGCCATGGCGTACCGCCACTTCCTGAGCATCATCCACACCCCACCCACCGACCCCAACTACAAGGCCTTCGAGGAGACGGTCGACGATTACCTGGAGAAGCCGCCCTTCAACCTTGTCAACATCTACAAGCTAGACAAGAAGCGGAACGTGAGTACACACACGGGGAGTTATCTTTTCATGAGTGCTCACACGGGGGGGGGGTATCTTTAGATGAGTGCACGGACAGGGGGTTATCTGAACGACGAAATTGTTGAGTTAACTTGAGGAAAACATCTTTGAGTGTGAGACTGATTATGTGGAACATCACGTGATAGATATTGACGTATCTAATACATGGCAGGAAATTTTCGGTACACATTAGCATTAAAAGTGTATTTTTCTTGTATTTTGAAGAAAGGAGATGACGTTAATTTAACAAACATTGACAATGTTTACTCATTCCCCTCAAATTTGCAACGATTTACACATTTTAACTTTTGTATAAAGAATCGTTAGAATTTTTTTTTTCTCTAACTGTAAAAACTGACCAATTTATTGTTGATTGGACTACATTTGTACCCTTGTATGCCGAGGTCATTGAAACAGATGAATTCTACTTCATCTGGCCCATGTGTCTCTAGCACAAACGGCAAAATGTGATGACGATAATGTTGAAACTGCTACTAATACGAAATATCAGCAAACGTTGAAACTTCGCTACAGTACAGTATATTAACCGTAGTTACAATAACCTGGACTACCGTTACTTAATTTGATTCTATTATTAGTAACATGTTTGTAATTGTTGCATTGTGGGAACTATTTGTACTTTTAAATCTTGAAGCGAGTTCTAAATACGAAAAGCTATCATAAATGGGAAATATGTTCACAAAAATCAATTTATTTCGAAAATGTATATTATCTCTGGCTAACGAGATTTTGCATTATAATAAGTGATAGAACGAGACTTACAAGCGTAAAATACTTTGTGAACTCTAAAAATCTTTGTTTACTCTTAATTACCATAGTAATACCGAAATCCAAACATATATCATTGGAGGTTTGTTAGCAGAGATAAAATAAAACTGATTTTCACAAAACACACAAATGCACTTATACTAAATTCATGATGTGATGTTGTACTTTGTTTTAATAGAAAAATATATCATTGGATAATCGTGTAAACCTGGATACCATTTGATTAAGTCGAGAGCCACTGCTTAACCATGACTATTCGAGTGTCGTTGATCTACCGTTGAATCGCGGTACGTCTAATCTATTACCGTCAAACCCAAGCGGGAGAAATCCTCAGATGATTGAAAGAATTAGGTCAACGCCTGATTTATTTTTAGATCGTGGGCAGTGACCTAGATTTGAAGTATAGATGAAGCATGCTCTGGGGGAGCTGGAGGAAATCAGAAGTTGGAGATCGTACAGTTGTAGGGGAACTAACGGGTCTTGTAATGGTATTTGACTCGTTGGACGGTGCTCCGTGGATATCGTCTTGTTCGGTGGGAGGCCGAAAATGGAAATTAATTGCCGTTCGTTTTTGGATCTCTGTAATCTTGTTTGACGCGTTGGTCTGGTGTAAGTTATCGATATCTTTACGGACTGGGCTTCACGAAATGAAGATTTACCATCTCAAGATATATTGGTACTGAATTAACTAATTTATTTAGTAATAGAAAATCTTAAAGAATATTTTGTCAGCTGAACTGTAATAAATAATTTTAAAAATTATTGATACTTATTGCTTAACATTTGATTAATATTTATTTATCATTGATCAATATTGATTTATCATTGATTAATATTTATGTATCATTGATTGCAAACCATGAAAAGCAAACCTCAAACTTAACGTGATATATTTATTTAAATCTCTCCATCTAATGTACAAAGTAATCTTAATCTATAGACCAGACACACGACTAACCCTTAAATTAATAATACTACTAATTCTAACCTTAAAAAAGGTATTGACCTACCTAAACTTCAATCCAGATATAACCCTGACTCTAAAACCTCACAACTAATTAACTACAACAGCACCTTCTTGTAGTTAGATAGCATGTGGTTTGGCACCACGACAGTAAAAATACATGTACTGTAGCTAAAGAGAACCTGATTTACCTTGCAGATTCTACCAGAGGCCGCTTACCTGTATGACGCAGTAATGATCTATGCTCAGGTGATCCACGAATTTATACAAGAGGGACGGGACACTAGGGATGGTAGGGCGATCATAGACCGTATCAGAGGACGCTCGTACAAAAGTAAGCTCACTCTCTCTTTCATGTACGTATAACTATATATGTATATATATATATATATATATATATATATATATATATATATATATATATATATATATATATATACACATGTAACTTCTCAATACATATTACCACTGACGTCATTTCCAGGCGCGTTCGGCTACGTCAGCAGGATCAACTCATGTGGTGACGCCCTCGGCAACTACTCGGTGATCGTCTGCCGAGCATTGAAGGACGGCGGTTGGCGGATGCACCCGATTGGCACCTTCCATCACGACACAGATTCCAGCGAGATACCTGTAAGTGACTTAGAGACCTTGCCCGTGTAGTTGTTACAAAATGTGTTAGCATCTGTTTCCATTAGGCTTTACATTATTTCTCTGTTAACATCAGTAGCGAACTCAATACGATTACTTTTTTTTCATCCGTGAATAAGAAACACCGATAAAGGACTATATATAATTAGGTTAAAATGTTGCTTATCAACTTTATCTATTGATACAGCGATTTCAAAGTTTAGAACTAAGTCCATGGTAAAAGAAATGATAAAGATAAGTATAATATAAAGGCCTTAATACGAATATGATATGATATGGATAGGGATTTTCAATTTTTTTGTATTAACGACATATTTGTGACTGAAACCAATCATGCAGTAATGAACCTAATATAGTATTAGGTAATCATTTATAGTATCATTATGTCATAGACTACCCCAATGGAAATTTATTCCAGAAGTTTCAGTTCCACCAAGACGAGAGCATGCAGTGGATCAACGGCCAACCCCCACCAGATGAGCCAAAGTGCGGCTTCAAGCATGAGAAGTGTATGCCGCCTAAATGTAAGTCAACGTGAGCACGTTTTGTTTGACCAATCACGTGCAATATTTTAAAATGTTTTTAGCATTCACTTTCTTCAAACAGTCTGGCTGTATTAATAATAAGTATATGGGAGTAGACACTGCAACTGAAATATAATAAAAGAAAATGTGTTTCGTACTTTAAAAGGCACAACTATTTTAATTATAGGTCTGTGTATATCTACGCCTATTTGCAAAATGTACTATGTACAACTAAGGCAAATACAACTGATGGCTTGTTTAAAAAACGTATGGGTAAATCAAAACAAAATGTCTAGACTTTTAAATTGTTGGACATATTAGACACAATGATTTGACCATTATAATGATTAACTGAACTTCTTATTATCGTTAATTTCTTAATTGGAAAAAAATCCCCTTCAACAAAATTTAATTATTACGAGTCAACTATTTATGCACCATTTAGACCGTTGACTCCGATTTCAGCCTGCTTTTCTTTTTGGATTTGCTTCCATAGCCTCTGTCCAAACAAAAACAAACTACAAGGCAGCAGTTGTTTGATTTTGGAATTGTCTCACCTGGAACAGTTGCTGTCCCTAGCTATCGAGTCTCATGTACCCGGGGTTTCGAACTCTGGACTTTTCGGTTCAGCTACCATGAGCTTTAACAGCTCAACCTCGCCTTATACTCACCTGACTAATGACTAACTCCCTGCATCTAAAAATTTCATCATCAAAATTTTGAAACCACGTTACGAATTGTACTATTTTTTCCAACAGCCTACACGTACGAGATCGCCGGGGGCTTCACTGGGGGTATCATCTTCATCAGCATCATCATCGGATACATCTTCTACAAGTAAGTTTCTGTCATTGTTTATACAACTCTCACTAGTAATGGGAGGGGGGGGGGGGGTTACCCTCATCACAGTTTCTACTATGGCCGATTTCATATTACATAAAGTAAACACGATATTGTTTGATAAAGACGGTTGGATTTGAATACGATTCGAGAAAATATTCCACCGTTTTCCTAAAAAAACTGACAATTGAAGCATGCTGCCCAGTTGTGATGATGTTTGGTTGTCTGACCAATGTTTTTGCCATCAGGATGTACAGCAAGCAACAGGGGCTATCACTCCTGTTTGTCTATACTCTATACGGTAAAGTATGTAAAGAGTCCTCTTTAGACCTAGCGATCGATTGGGCAGATGAAGTAGAGTACACATGTTACTTGACATTGGCATTTGAAGGGAAAGTGTGGTCAGGATTTTGCCCAGCCGCCTTTACTTTCCTTAACACGGGATAGGTACCCATCAGAGCTGAGTGGACTCTTAGACGTTCTACTTCGCTTCTACGGTAGAGTTAGTCAACTGTCGCCCGCCATTCGCAGATTTAACCCCAGCTATCTTCTAAATCTTACCATGCTAGGCCTTAACCTATTCACACGTTATATGTTTATGCTCAATCATCTTCTGAATAAAGTTATCGCGATAAAAAACATGTTAATATCATGAAGCTTCGTTTTATCTCTTTGATTTAAGCAAACTGACGTTGAAAAGATGTATTTATTTTTATTAAAAAAAACAAATTTAGATGCAACGCTAAAAAATAACCATAAATATGTTTCATTCATCAAAAATTACGTCATCTCATGTAAATAATGTCACTTTAACTCTGCATAACCCTGAAAGAGAGAGGGATGGATGGGGGGGGGGGGGGGGTACACAGTTAAGATAGCTGTGTTGCCATCAATGGGTCCAGATTTTAACCGAGATACATGACGTCATAGATTTAAATACATCCCATCAAGTTAATTTGATCAGTACGGCGTCTTATGATTTATTAATCATGGCATTCTAAAAAAAAAAAGTCAACATGTCGCATGATCAAGAATGATAAAAATTACCTGTACAAGATCTAGAACTAAATACATTTAATGTAGCCTTTATGCCTTTATTAACCCCATACATAAAACATAATATCAAGCGAGTTTTTTTAAAAATAACAAAAAAAAAAAAAAACAAGATGATTTAGTATTTAAATTGATTCATTAAAATGTAAAACCTTCTAAAAATACATTTAGCTTTCTGTTCATAAAAATACGTATAGATGTTTTTGATAAAGTGTATTTCCCTGGGGACAACTTTGAAAAAATACGTTTACAAAATCAATAGATATTTGATTTAATATTCAAGAGTATTTTTTGTGTAATCAGAGTTTCTTCCAGGCATCTCTTCGCCCCCCCCCCCCCCCCCCCAACCGAAAACCATCCGCCCACTCAGAAAACTTAGTCCGCCCCAACCCCCCCCCCCCCCCCCCCCACCCTCCAATCCCGCGAGAAAAAAGTTGGTATACATGATACAGACGGTTGAGTCAGCAGTTTGACCATAAATGACGAAACGCTTTTCACGACAATAGGGCTGGTAAGTAGGTCACCAATCAGTACTATGGCTCATGCAGGTTTTATTGAGCCTGAGAACTGGTTAGTGACCTAATTACCAGCCCTATTCATACCTCTCCCTCCATTTACACCCATTATCATACACATATTTTCCGTAAATGCCTTCACACCTCAGCCTACAACCCACATTAAAATTTAAGATTTTTTTTAAATATCGATTTTTTAAACTATATTATTCAGTTTATATTACAATTTACAATAAAGTGGAAGTGAACTCCTGTAAACTTTCTCGTATATTCAACTTTTTAACATAGAATACAATCGCGTGTTTTTCTTCAAATAATTCTGCCGGCGACATCGTGTGTTTGATAGTAGGGGAAATCGTACTCGTACTTGAAAATGCTTTTAAATACAATTAATTATCAATACAACTATAAATATTTTTTTTAAATATAAAAATACATTTGGCTTTAATTTTGGAGCCTCCTCTTTGCTCCCCACCCCCTGCCCCACCCCACCACAATACGCTTTGGAGGACCGGTCGAAATGTTATGTCAAAGTGTGAACGTGTTACGTGCCCCATATTTGGCTAACATAGGGGAGAAAAAAGTCACAGAACTGTTTTAAAAAATTGAAGTTTCGCCTATATTTTACATACATTTTGTGTAGTGTATATTAATGTTTGCGGAAGAGCGTGGTATAGTGAATGATTTTAAAAAAAGATAATAGTATCATAGTTACAGTATATTTTTTGTACAAACCAAACATCAAGGCAAAAAATCACATAAATTAAATTCAAAATTTAAAAAAAAAAAATATCGTCGACGTTGCCCCCCCCCCCCCCAACGACCCGGGCCTCCCCGCAGTGCGGGGTCTGGAGACACGGTAGTGCGTGGTACCTATATAAATCGCATGATTAACATTAATAACAGCATGGGACGGCGTGGTCTTGGGGTGGAGCGAGTGAATACTAAACAGAAAGTCTCGAGTTCGAATGCTGAGTCAGTGGCTTGGCATTGTACTGTCCACCTCATCCCATCACATAAAACACATGAACCTCTATTTAAACTGCCCACTGGATCGCTAGGTCTAAAGAGGAAACTATAATTTCACCATAATGGGCATATTATATATTTTTTTTATTTAAATAGCATGTAAAATTATACAAATATTTCAAACTATGTACTGATTAACAGAAGAAAACGCGAAAGTATTTAAAATAGATTTCATGTTTGAAATTTAAAGTTTTCATAATAACAATATGTCTATGACGTTATCCAACCTTAGATTTACACTTTGTTTTTACTTTCAAGAAAAGTAAAAACAATATTGTGTTATTAAACAATGTTTTTAAAGTTGCAGAATTATTGCATATAATGCTGATATTATATATATAACAAATTAAATGACACCGATTAAAGGGAAACAACCCGTAACATGAGTTACTAGGTTTTTACTTTCTCGTATATACGTAGTATAGAGAAAGTATTGTAATCGTGCAAAAAAAAAATCGAGATTTTTACAAATCTCGACGTTTTACACCTCACTGATACGGAAAAACATAATTTTGCAATCTTGTCCGTATGTCTGTGTGTGTGTGTGTCTGTCCGTGTGTGTGTCTGTCCGTGTGTAAACACGATAACTTGAGTACCGTTACAGCTAGGTTGATGAAATTTCATATACAAGTATTTTATCAAAATCGTAGATCCGTATCAACTTTTGAGCGATTTCCGATAACCGGAAAAGGTACTTTTCTTACTTTGAATTTTTTAAAAGCCTATAACTTGAGTACTATTTCAGATAGATAAATGAAATTTCACATGTAAGTAAAAGATCTAATTCTCTACCTTCTGTTAAATTTTGAGTAATTTCCGTTGACTGGAAGTAGTAATTTACGCTACTTCCGATTTCTCAAAAAACTAATGTAAATTTTAAAAGTACTAATAATATTGCGCACTATTATGCGCTTTTTTTATTTGCGTTCACTTGGTGTGCAATTAATTTGTCTACGAGATTTTATTATATTTTTAAAACTTTAAGTATTTAAAATGGATTAAAAATCATGTCTATAGCCCGAGTTTCCATCCCCTGTTATTTTATATAAGAATATTCGAGAAAGTTTAGGGGAGATCACTCCCGGTTTATTTTTTTTAAATTTATTTTTTCCTATAAAAAATATGTATCCTTAAACTCCGCTTTATGGAAACATGTTATGATAATATTAAGAAGTAAATTTTATGATTATTAATATTCAAAATATGCCTGAAGTTAGAAAAAGAAAATCGAGGGTACCCTGATCACCATATTCAAGCTATACCCATGCTCTTTCTACCCTAGCCTTACCCTAACCAATTCTGCAATATACTAACATACCGTGCACCAAGGGGTCTTCCATAAATGACGTCACACTCATAGGAGGAGGGGGGTACGTAATTTTGTGACGGTGTGTGATAACGGGGAAGGGGGGGGGGGTTTAGCTATGTTAGAAAACGAATTTTAGACGTTATTTCGCGTTTTAAAAAACTGTTTTAATAAATTGTAATAGGAATTAATTTAAATATTCTATTTTGACAGAGTTCAGACAAGATTTCAGAAAAATATCGATGTTATAAAACAAATTCAACTGCAATTTTGAGGGGTGGGGGGTTGTAGGCTGAGGTGTTACGTCATTTTAGGAGGGGGGGATCTGGCTTTTTGTGACGAGGTGTGACGGAGGGGAGGGGGGGGAGGTAAAAATCGTCAAAAAAAAGCGTGACGTCATTTATGGATGACCCCCAACCCGTCCACTCCCGTCCAACCCACACCACCCCTCTCTACCTTCACTAAACCCAACCCTTAATGGTAATCGATGACGTCACCAGTCTCATTTCTCCACGTTTCTTGTAGTGGTCTCTGAGACTCCAGCCTAGCCTAATGCCGCCCTAATCAACCTATTCAAACCCCCGTCCTGGCCAGATCAAACGGAGGCTAATAGAAAAGTACTTTAAACTAATTCTGTTTCCCCGGACTAAAAGAGGATCAAACTTTGGCTACAAATAGTACTGGAGTTGTGTCCCATATCTGTTTGCAAACAGTAGAAACTAGACACCATGTAAATGCATGTGTTAACAATGTTAAAATATTTCAGGCAGATCTGAAATTTAGTACACTGCAAATAAACAGAGAACACAGTAATGAAATGTACAAGTGTTTAGTAACTAAAAGTTAACTTTTTAGAAACTTATATCAAGGAAATTTTTAACGTAAATACTTAAAAGGCAAGAAAATAATTAGTTTTAGTTGTGTTGGTGTCGGTTTATTAAAATTTGTTGATATGAGGTCTTATGTCAAGTTGTCGTTCGGGGATGTGGTGAAGGGGGATGACGTCATAAGTCAACTTGTGGTACGGGGAGGGAGGTGGGTTGATGTGTCCGTGGAAATCGGGTATAATGTAGCTATTAGTCCAGTAATGAGAAAGCAAATAGTAAATCAATACATCCTTTAGTAGGCCGGTGGGTGAGACTATATGGATTGAGGGGGGAGGGGGTTGTAATGGGGAAATAAAAAGTAAAATGAACTCATTTTTAATGGATTTAGATATCAAATAGTAACCATGCACATCCATGTCATTTAACTTAACCGAATGAATTAAGCACCGTTAAAGTGAACGATTTTCATTGCAAACATGGCTAGTCTGTAGTTCATTCACAATAAAAGAGAGTCAAGCACAAATTCACACACACACACACAAACATACATACACACACAAACACAGACACAAACACAAATATACCCGAACACACGCTTTAACACACACGTGTTTATCAGTCATATCAATGCATGTATGTGTATGTAATATAGCACGCTAACTGCATATGTGTTTTGAAATGTGAATAACTTTCCACCATACATCAACAGCAACTGGAGGTACGAGCAAGAACTAGCTGGCCTCTTGTGGAAGATAGAACTCTACAAGGACATCGTGCTGACTACTAACCCCTACTATAACACCAACTCTGGCACCAACAATAAGGTGGGTCTTTGATTTGTGTTGATACATATATTCCAAAATGGCATGTTGTCAGTGTTGTCAAGTAATAAATACAGTGTCAACAGATAGGCCGATCTGTCAGTTGTCATTGTTTGTAAAGATTTTACTTGGTTGCCACTTCCTTGAATACAGAAACGTTATAGCAGTTTAAGCATTAATATGTATGTAGTCTTTTCTGGGAGTTGCCACTAAACTCAGCTAAACATATACATGTGTATCATTTTGACACTGTATGTGTATGTGAATATATGTCTGTATATTATGTGTGGAGTTTCACGCAATATATATATATATATATATATATATATATATATATATATATATATATATATATATATTTGTGTGTGTGTGTGTGTGTGTGTGTGTGCGTGTGCGTGTGTGAAGATAAGCTTCATACACTTCAATTACCATTTATCACTAAAGTGCTACTGCTGTTATTACGCATGTTTGTTTATGTTAGGTGTCTGTTGGTATATGTTAGTGTGTTTCTGTGAAGTGTGTCTGAGTGTGTAAAAATATATAGACTACTTGTTAAGTTCCATTTTCGAACCTGACGTTCCATGGGGCGAGGGAGGTAGAGTTCACCTGCTCCTGTGACCTTGGCATTTAAAGGGGTAGTGGGGTCAGCACTATGCCCAGCCGCCTTTACTTGCCTAACGTGAGTTAGGTACCCATCAGAGCTGTTTGGACTCTACTGACTTGAATCGGGATTTGAACTCGGGCTAGCAGTCCAGCAATCTACCTCCAAGCCACGTCTTTCCCATATGCTTGTGATAATAACACTGTATTTTCTCTGACCCCTCTCTACCCCTCTACCCCTCTCTGCCCCTCTCTGCCCCTCTCTGCCCCTCTCTGCCCCTATCTGCCCCTATCTGCCCCCTGTACCCAGACCTCCCTAAACAAGTCGGCGAGCCAGTCGTCCCTGATATCTGTGTCAGATATTGACATGCGACAGCTGTTTACTCACGTCGGCATTTACAAGGGCACGGTCGTGGCCGTCAGGAAGGTCAACAAACAGCATGTCGAGCTCACGAGGAGTGTCAAGAAGGAGCTTAAGACGGTAGTGGGGGATGTGTGTGGGGGAGTTATGGGTGGTGTGTGTGGGATAGTGGGGGTGATGTGGGGGTAGTTGGGGGAAAGTGTGTCGGGGAGGTATGGGTGGTGTGTGTGGGATAGTGTGGTTAATGTGTGTGGGGTAATAGGTGTGGGATAATGAGGGATGTGTGTGGGGAATTTATGGGTTGTTTGGGTGGGATAGTTGGGATGATGTGTGGGGTAGTGGGGGATGTGTGTGGGGCAGTTATGGGTTGTGTGTGGGGGATAGTGGGGGTGATGTATGAGGTAGTGGGTTTTGATCTGTATGGGATAATTTGTGTGGTGATGTGTGGGGAATAAGGGTTTGATGTGTGTGTGGTAGTGTTCTATGGGGGGGTTGGGGATTTTTGTGGGTAGTGGGGAATGATGTATCTGGAAATAGGTGGTTAAGAGTGTGGGGTTGTTATCGTTTGTGTTATGGGTGGGCTAGTTAAGTGTGGGGTCGTATGTGGGAGTAGTAATGTGTGATGAGGTGTGAGATATGCCTTAACTTAGGACTTGCCTTAGGCTTGTGACACCTGCATGTTACAGGTGAGGGAACTACGTCACGACAACATCAACCCGTTTATTGGCGCGTGCGTGGAATCACCCCACATCTACGTTGTCACCGGCTACTGCAGTAAAGGCAGTTTACAGGTAAGTTACAGCTTACAGGTAACTTACAGCCTACATGTAACTTATAGCTTACAGGAAACTTAACGCTTACATGTAATTATAAATGTAAAGGTGTCTCGAAACTTACAGGTATCGTAAAATTTCCAATTAACTTATCACGTCCAAGTATCTTAAACTAATAATTACTTAAAGGTTACGTGTAAATCATTGTTTACAGATTACTTATAGCTCACATAAAAATAGCTTACTTACTAAATTTCTTAATGCAAATGTAAATAAAAGTGCCCATGTAACGTATATATAACAGGTTATATGTAACATAAAGTTAACATGTAATCCATAGCTTATATATTACTAGGTATTTAACTAGAGATTAAACGAAGTTGTGTTCACCACAGTGATGACGACAAAAATGACCTTACAATATTTAATAGCAGCAAGGGGTCGGCGTGGTCGAGTCGGTAAAGCTCATGGTTGCTAAACCAAAAAGTCTCGAGTTCGAACCCTCGGGCAGATGAGGCTCGTTAGCTGGGGACAGCCACTCTTCTAGGAGAGACAACTCCAAAATAAAACAACTGCTGCCTTGTAGTTTGTTCTTGGTTGGACAAAGGCTATGGAAGCAAATCCAAAAAGAAAAGCAGGCTGAAATCGGAGTCAATGGCCTCAATGGCGCATAACCAGTTGACACGTAATCCTTAATTGTGATGGAAGCATGGTCGAGTCGGCAAAGCTCATGGTTGATAAATTCGAAAAAAAGTCTCGAGTTCAAACCCTCTGGCAGATAAGGCTCGATCCCTCCCAACACAAAAAATTAAGAACGAAGAAGAAGAAGAAGAAGAATAGCAGCAAATACAAAAATAAAAAAATCATGAACAACCACGTATAGACTAACATGTTCATACAATACTTCCTTTATTAAAATGATACATTAACACACATAATAAAATTGACCTTAAACTGGATTCCAGACTGATGATGTGCTACATGTGAAAGTGATAGCGATGGATAATCATTAAGAACAATTCATTTTAAAGATAATTTGAAGAAAATAAATTAAAAAAAAACAAATATGTGTACAAAGATACATGATATGCGAAATCAATTACGCTAATGGAAATCCATTCATAGACTACATACTGCATTAAAGCCCATTCAATGTAACTTTATCTTTTTCCCACAGGATATCCTAGAGAATGAGGATATACTTCTCGATTCCATGTTCATAGCGTCATTAGTCTCCGATATAATAAAGGTAGGTAACTGTAAATATTTTATCTCAAAGGTAGGTAACTGTAGATATTTTATCACAGAGGTAAGTAACTCTAGACAGTGGCGTAGCGAGGTCGGGTGTTACCCGGTGCGGCACTTAATGGTGTCACCCCCCAGAGGCGTAGCGACAAACTTTCAATTTTCTATTTGCACCACACCCGCCCTCAAACTTTCGAATTGCACCACCCCCCCACCCCCACCCTCCACTCAAACTTTCGATTTGCAACTCTTAAAACACTATTTAATACTTAACGATTTAATCACTTAATTAAGTGGAATTATTATTTTTCTCTATATATTTTGCAATTTTTTGCCTTGGTGTCACCCCCCTAAATGGTGTCACCCGGTGCGGTCCGGACCGCCCCCCCCCCCGCTACGCCTCTGACTCTAGACACTTGTTTGTGTTACCAGTGTTTGTTCCAGACTTTTTTCTCCGGGGGGGGGGGGGGGTGACACTGTTAAAAGTATATATTTTCTATATAAATTATACAAATTTCATTTCGTTCAGGGGGCGGGGGGGGGGGGGCGGTAGAATTTTTTTCGAAGAGATGCCTGGAAGAAACTCTGTGTGTTACTATATAATAGGCGACTAACTTTGACACCTTGATCTTGAGCTGTCTGTATTGCAATTATTATTTCGTTTCAAAATCCATGAAAATTTCAAAGTTGTTCTTTTTTAAAAATTCACAGCTAATGTTGTCTTAAACACACTACTGTTCTTATCATAAACTGCTAACTAATTATTCTTTAACCAGCATTCTACACTCATGGCTTATTATTAATTTTTTGATTCAAATGTACTGTAAATATCTTGGCCACGACCTCCACCCTGCCCCTCCCCAATAAAACCCTACCAAAAATACATAACGCCAGATAAATAAAAATAAAAGCCAAAATCTAATTTTCGAATGCACCTTTGAAAATAAAAACTTTAACTCGGGCTCCCGTTTTTTTTTTTTTTTTTTTTTTTTTTTTTTTTTTTTTTTTTTTGGCTCACACAGAACGGTCGTTGACAAACGCACGCGCGCTTGTTAACTGTCTGTCTATACCTGACAAATGTCCTTAGCCCGTGAATAGATCGGGGCAAAAAATAGACACAGTAAATAGATTCAGCTGACGGTGAAGTGCAGGGAAATCCTGGATTGGATGAGATGCCAGAAATATTATCCACACGAGAACGTTGATCAATGGCTATGTGATACGGCCGCCGTGTTTTATATGACATGTATTAGTAGCACTAGAAACTGATTCTCTTCATAAAGTCAAACTCTGATCTGACAGATTAGCCAGTTTTAAAATGTCTAGTTTAAGTTAAGATGTATTTAGAGAACGTGAAAGGCAAGGGCAGTTTCTGGTGAATACGTTTTAATAAGTTAGTACAGCTGCGTAAATACAATAGATTATAGAATACGAAATTTTTAAATATACAGATGAATAGGGCAAATAAAAACACAACAAATGTATAAAGAACACATCTTAAGTCAACACTATCTCTTCATATGCCGAGGTCACAGAAACAAGTGAACTCTACTTCACTTGCCCTATGGACCGTTTGAAAAGGGAACTATATTTTTTACAACAATAAATATACATCAACAATATACGCCATTGAATGTTATAAACCTGTATGAAGATTGGCGTATCATCTCTCATGTAGTATAGTAATTGTATCTTCTTACTTCTTTATAGTAATATTTCAGGATATTTCAAATATTAGTGGTTCATAAACTCTAAAGTATAGTAATTGTATCTTCTTACTTCTTTATAGTAATATTTCAGGATATTTCAAATATTAGTGGTTCATAAACTCTAAATTGTAGTAAATGTATTTTCTTACTTCTTTATAGTAATATTTCAGGATATTTCAAATGTTAGTGGTTCATAAACTCTAAAGTGTAGTAAATGTATCTTCTTACTTCTTTATAGTAATATTTCAGGATATTTCAAATATTAGTGGTTCATAAACTCTAAAGTGTAGTAATTGTATCTTCTTACTTCTTTATAGTAATATTTCAGGATATTTCAAATATATTAGTGGTTCATAAACTCTAAAGTGTAGTAATTGCATCTTCTTATTTCTTTATGTAATCTTTCATTATATTTAAAATACTAGTGGTTCATAAACTCTAAAGTGTAGTGATTGTATCTTCTTACTTCTTTATAGCAATATTTCAGGATATTTCAAATACTAGTGGTTCATAAACTATATTTTAACGACCATATAAACATCTGAATTATGTAGCTTAAAATTGTATGTAATATAAAAATAACAGGCCAGTCCGGGATTTGAACCCGGGACCTCTCGCACCCAAACCCTAGACCAATGAGCCGTTGTTACTTGAACTTGGGATATTTCAAATTAGCTTCTTAACTCATGGCATAAGACATCTGTCACTCCATAACCCGAATCCAAACCACATTTCCCGCGTGAGTGCCATTGCAGATTCGTCAGTATTACATTCGGAAATCTGTAGTCCATCGGTTATTACCATCATAATTTAACAACCAGCGCTAGTGAACCCTTCCCCCCCCCCCCCCATCCTGGATTATAAGTTGCTGTACATGTATGTTCTTGTGCGACGGCGTTGTCTCTGAGCCCACCCAGCTGCAATGGGTACCCGGTTACCGTTTGAGCGGGCGAGACTGACCCTTCACATGCCGAGTTCACAACAATTTTTTAAAACATTTTCTGCATTAAATTTTCAATTTCTTTCATTCACCCCAGTCACTAAATTCTATACCCATCCCTTGTTTTGTTCGGTGCTCTTTGATTTATTTCACCTGTATATTTAACTACATACCAGAGATAGAACTAGCATCCAAATGTAACAGATAAAACCTGTTAAATTACTTAATCAGTATAATTCATTCAACTTAACTCCAGTTGTGACATTTTAATCCGATGTTCAATACTTATACGTGAGTATATACAATGTTACTGATACCTCCATTGACCTATTCTAATCCCTACCCTTTTCACCTCAAAGTTTTGCTCTTTCACCACACAAGTAGACAATTTACTCAGAAGTTAAATAGGCCTATATATATATATATATATATATATATATATATATATATATATATATATATATATATATATATATATATATATATATATATATATAATATAAATATTGAAAAACAGCCATAAACGTAATGATATATCTGACAATTGTTTTGAATATTAAAGTTAGTTCGAGATCTATTTCTGTTTTTTATAAAGCTAAGGGAAGTAACTTATAACAATTGTTCTATGCGCTTCTAAAACACAGAGAAATTTAATTGTGAAACAATAAAATGGTATCTATAATTTGTCACATTTGTTAAAATTTGCTTTTGCAGTTTAAATATAAATAATAGTCATTTTTATTTTATTTTATAGAAAGTCGAGTTATCATTAGGTTATAGTGTAAATATGAAACGTTTTGATATTTTACAAAGTCAAACCTTAATACTTTGAAAATTTTAATTAACCGCAGTTCCAAAACGTATTACATGCCCAACAATTTTCTTTAAAAAAAAATTTAAAAAAAATAAAACAAAAAAAAAAACAAAAAAAAAACAACATCGCAACATAAAAAAAACAAAAAAAAAGTAGATTAAAATACATTAAAACTATACCTTAATACAGGGGCTCCCAACCTTTTTTTCTTTTTACTCTAGAGCACATTCTAAAATATCGGTAGGGTGGCAGGCACCACCTATTTTAAATCGACAAACTCTTTCCATAACTTGTCATTTTCCCATAATTTATTTTCTTATAGTCATTATGTATTAATAAATAATAAACACAAATGTTTTAAAATAATAAAATTATTTGGCATTTTTTTCAAATTGCATACACACAGAGAAATGTATTTACAAATCGTAAAGAAAGTAAACAAAGCACATAAATAAAAAGAAAACATTTCATTAAAAAATATAATAAAGTCAATGTGATATTTGGCATTGCATTTCATTGACCAGAGCTTCATAATTAGGAAAATATGACGATAATCCTGTTAGCAGACAATCATAAAGATGCTCATCGGTGAGTCGAGATCCATATCTTGATTTTATTAAGTTCATGTTTGAAAACAAACATTACCGAAAAATGATTCAAATGGCACTAGCCGTTCCAGGCTAGCGTAAATAGTGCAGTCTGGCTCGCCGCTAGACAAGTTGGGACAAGTATTGAACATATTTAATAAACCTAGGCAGTCAAAAAAAAAATTAAAACTGTAACAAATGAATAAAAATAAATCATATTTTAAAATAATGTTGATGAAAAAAATTCTGTCTCTGTGGAATAGTGAGAGGCGGGCACATACGAATCGTTCAGCAACCTGCGGCTCGCGAGCCGCATGGGGCTCTTTTGGTGTTAATGTGCGACTATCCAGTTCCTTAATAATTATAGATCTATTCAGTGGCGGAACTAGAAAAAATGGGCCACCCCGCAAAAAATTTGTTTGCCCCCCCCCCATATATGTGTATATATATATATATATATATATATATATATATATATATATATATATATATATATATATATATATATATATATATATATATATATATATATATATATATATTTATATAAACACACAATAAGAACATAGGATAGGCCTACTCATTTCTGGCCTGATCGGGTTTTGAACAAAAACTTCAATTAAATCTAATCACAACAACATGTCATATGTATGAGTGCATTGGCCTGTTTTGAAAATCTCTGTTTTCATTATGTTTGCCTTAATACGTCTAATCACTAAGTCTGTCAAAAGTATATAAATCATGAAGCTTTGTATGAGTAATGGTGTCTCGTGTTATGTTTATTTTTATGTTTTTTTTTGTATTTATATTATTAGTTTTGACTACATTTCATCATTATACTATACCATTCTTTAGTACTTATTTTTTTTTAAATAATAATTAAGATAAGTAATTGCTGTTTAATTTTATTATTACAAATCTATTAAAAGGAGCTTATGAGCACCCCTTTTGGCT